CCTTCATTGGAATTATTCAAGTAGGAGTAGAGCTCTTTCTGTTGAGTGGAAACATTCTAAAATAAGTAGAGGACTAAGTAACAAACTTCCCATTCAGCTCTAATGCTACCATGAGAAAGTGTCCTTTTTTTCCTGCAAAAAAAAAAAAAGGCTGAAATAAAAACCCTGTTGCCTATGATTTGAATTCCTCAGAATCATCTAAACCAGGTTAATAATTAAAGTTTCCTCATACTGTCTATGTTGGTTTCACCTGTGTGCGAGATTCCAGTTTCATAAAATCCTCCTAGCAGCATTACTTAACCTAGTGTCAAAGGAAGGTGTATGTATTCCACTAACCGAAAAAGCAAGTCACTACTAGCCCAGGAAGAAAAAGGTGGGAGGCTGCAGAAGCCATAGAAACTGACCCTGCCCAAAGTCAAAACAGAGAAGAGGGCTCTTACATAGTTAATCTTTGTATTTTCTCACATCTGCTATCTAGCACTGTGTCCTAAGGGCCCAACAGTCACATGTTGGTTAAGTGATTCTCCAGACCTGGGGTTGGGAGTAGGGGGAAGATAAATTTTTTAAATGTAACATGAAAAATAGAAAAGCATAAAACAGAGGGGAAAAGGAGGAGGATAATTTTTTTAAATGTAACATGAAAAATAGAAAAGCATAAAACAGAGGGGAAAAGATAGAGGAGACGAGAACAATCTAAGGAAGGCTATTTTTTGTCAGCTCTGCTTGTTTTACCATGAAAAGGAGCTGCCACCTCACTCCCTTGAGAAACACTTAATAAAGACTTCCCTAATGGTCTTTTATTGACTGTACTATTAAATGCCCTAGGGAAGGTAGACAGAATGTTTGACTACTGTTAAAGAGAAAACCACAGGCCTAAAATGGAGTCATTTGGGCTAAAGCCCATGAGCTCCAAACCTAGATTTAATACCTGACCTAACTGCAGTTCCTTCTCCAGGAATGTAATCTTAGTCTGCCAGTCAGGAATTTACTGGTCAATACCAATGAGGTCATCTATCACCTAGGCCCATTCCAACCCCCAAGGGAAGGCTGAGGCAATTCAGCCTTCCCCTAAGGGAAGGTAACCTTGCTTGAGACAGTCTTTTTTCTTTTGCTGATAACTTTCTTGTTCTGCCCAGTTTCTGCCTATAGAAACTTTCTATATTATATGGAAAGTTTGCTAGACAGGATGAATGCCTGATTCATGAATTGCTCCACAAAGCCAATTAGATCTGCAGATTTACTTGGTCGAATTTTTGTTAACACTACTTTGTTCCCACCCTGATTCTTCTCTAATTTTTACCTGCACATATACTCTAGCACACACTCTACCAGGGCTTCATTATTATTTCACTCATTCTAACACAACAGGCTTTAGCTGCTATGAGGTTATACATATCTATGCTACTATTTGTGGCCTTTTTTTCATCACCTTATGTGTTCTAAGAATCTTGGGCAGTCTATTTTACTGAGATAAAAGACAGAATGAGGGCTCCTGTGCCTTCCTGCGCCTTGCTTTCATAGGGTAAGCATTCCACCTTTTTCTTCCTCTTTTACAAACCTCAGCACAAAACTTTCTGGGCCTAATTCTCATCTTTCTGGTTTTCCTCATCTCTAAAATGGTAGGAAAAATAGTCAAACCTATGTATTACAGTTCCTATGAGAATTAAATATTATGTATACTTGAAAATTTGTTGAAAATGCAAAAGACTATAAAATGAGACATTTTATTGAATTTATTTCTAAAATGATTTCAGTTGTTAGAATTCATGTGCTAGGGTACTTGGCTGCTTGTGTCTCAGGGAGGGAATTAATGTAAGATGTCAAGAAGAAAAATTCACTGTACTTCAAGTGGAAGTCAATCACCTTGCACAAAGTCCTTTGGAGAGAAGTCTTTCGGTTTAAAAGCTGGAGTCGTAGGAAAACAAAGTATGCAAATGAGAGCGCCCTAGGCGCTCTGGGCCTCCCGACCTAGAGGCACTTCACTCCACCTATAGGAACCCTGCAGGAGGGCTTCATCTAAGGACACTTCCGCCTGCTGGCGCGAGGACCCTCTACCACCTCGTCTGGGTCCCGAGCGCATGCCTACCAGGTCTGGGGAAGCTAAGATTTAAGGTCCTAGAAGTTTTAACACTTTACATGATTTTGAGTTAACCAAGAACTCTAAACCCCTCCCAGGCAGTACCGGCCACTTCGAGTTGCCCCTCGCACTCCATCCGCTGAAAGGCTAGGGAAGTGATGGTGTAACAAAGTGAGATTCCAAGCTGTGGGTACCCCGTGTAGAGGCAAGAGACAGACTTGAGAGTCGCTTTCTCCAATCATTTCCGAACTGTACGTCTCGCCAGGTCGCTCAGGGAAATGCCAGAGCAATCTTAGGGCACTGAGAGAATGCCAGCGGGTGCAAAGGCGGCACAAAATCCGGGATCCTCTTCGCAGGCCTGTTTCCGAGTGTGAAGTATGGGCGATTACCAGCTAACCGCCCTCACCGAGAGAAAGGGGCTAGGTTGTTCCGGTTCAGGCCCACTACAGAAACCACTGGAGAAAACAGAAACACCAGTTTCTTTCGTTTTTAGTTAAAAAAAAAAAAAAAAAACCAAGAAGCGTGAACCATGCCCAGAAATGCTTCTGTCAGTGCAAGCGAGGAGCAGACTGAAGAAACAGCTAAAAGGAGGACAAGTTGAGCAGAACTCATGCATCATATGAATGTAAGACTGACTGCATGTGTACACATACGCAAAGGTGCGCACAGTGTTGAAATCCACGAGTGTGTAAGCAGACCTAGTCTCCCGCAGTTCAAGTCCCAACGACCGAGAGCCGCCTCTTCTGCGCCTGCGCACTAAATGCGTTTCCCCTCCTCCAGCTCGCGCCCCTCCCCAGAGTTCACTCCGCCCCGCCCACTTCTCCCGTTCCCCAGCCCGGCCGCCCGCGCAGAGCATTGTGGGACACAAACAAAGTGCCCCCAAACAGGCTG